CAAGGAGTTACAATAAACAATGGACACAAGCTAGTGGAGGGTAGTTTCAGGCTAGACATTAGGAAGCGCTACTTTACTGTCAGGGCGGCTAGGACCTGGAACCAACTTCCAAAGGAGGTGGTGCTGGCTCCTACCCTGGGGGTCTTTAAAAGGAGGCTAGACGAACATCTGGCCGGGGTCGTTTGACCCCAGTATTCTTTCCTGCCACGGCAGGGGGACGGACTAAATGATCTCCTCAGGTCCCTTCCGACCCTACCAACTATGACCCCAGTGCTCTTTCCTGCCTGGGGCGGGGGGCTGGACTCAATGATCTGCTGAAGTCCCTTCTGACCCTAATAATATCTATGAATACCAAAATTATTTAAATTAAAAAAATCTAAGGAATATATATATATATATATTTAACATCAGGGGTGCACCAATGAAGATATTCTTGACTGATAACAATAGCTGATTATTAACCAGCCATATCGGCTGATAGCAATCCGATAACTGATTTACAGGAAGGCAGCCGGGCAGCTTGAAGAGCAGTGCCCTGCTAGTAAGTCTGTGGGGGGAAGGGGTATGGGGGGGTATAGATCAAGGCCCTCACAGTGATGGAGGTGAGTGGGGCAGGGGCTGGGGCAGGTGCTGCCCAGCCAGGGCAGTGAATGTGACCCCAGGGCCAGCAGTGGGACGGAGATGCGGGCAGCTATCCAGGGGGCATGGCAGGGTGGGAAGCGGGTTGGCAGCTCTTCACCACTGTATGCAACCCCAGGGGAGGCGTGGGGGGCATATGGCCCCCAGATATGTGCATGGGGCAAGGGCAGGCTGCCCACTGTGGGCTTGGGGCCAGGGGCTGCACCAGCCTCTTCCTGGTGGGGAGCTGGGCTGGGGCTGCAGTCCGAATGGGTGGGGGTGGGGTGGGCTCAGTTGTACCCCCCAAACCCCTCCTAGTGCCACCCCTGCTTGGTGCACCACACTCTGCGGCCTTTCCCTTGGGAAGGGTGGGCAAGGCACATGGCCCCCATGCCTCCCCTGGGGATGTACCTAATGGTAGGGAGCTGTCCCCCCACTCCACATGGCCTGCGCACCTTGGATGACCTGTCTGCAGCTCCATCCAGCTCCCAGCCCCAGGGTTGCATTCACCACCCTGGCTGGGCAACATCTGCACCAGCCCCAGCCCCAGCCCCACTTGCTCCTTCACCATGGGAGCCTTGATCTGCCCCCCCACAACCCCTTCCCCACCACAGACTTACTAGCAAGGCACTGCTCTCCAAGTTATCAGGCTGCATTCCTAGCCATGTGCGTGCTGTGCCTGCATGCATGCACATGGCATTCATTGGTGACATTATTGGCTACACCAGCCAAAAAAAGCCAAAGGCCAATAATGTTAATTTTCCTATTATAGGTGCTGATCCCATATGCTACCAATATATCAGTGCACTTCTATTTCACATACTTGTCTCTCTTCTACAGGTGCTTTGTTCTTTTCAACATTTTATGTTTAGTTTAGTTAATTTTAGCAAGTATCCATTCCAAACTGAGAAAGCAACCAGGAAGTGCAAACAGAAGGAAAGCTTGTTTTCCTTTTACAATCTATGAATAAACAACTAGGTGCAAAAGGATAAGAGCTACTCATTCTAAAAATCTTGAACCACCTTGATTTAAAAACTGTCAGTTCAATGTACCAATGATTCTACAATAAACCAGTTATACTTACATGTAACATGCAAAAAAAGTTTGATAGTTTTAAAAATGTTGTACCCAAGCAAAATTAGCATTTGTCTGTTCATAGTTAAATTATTTTAAAACTCTGCATTTTGCTTTATTTCACATTTTATCAAAAAAGCAACTTAACACAAGTTTAAAAAAATCATCTAGCAAATAAAAATGTAATTTTCTAACACAGTATATAAAAATTAAGACTAACTAAATGTAGGACAAATGTTATAATGCCTTTTATACATATACATACACACACTATATCATATTAGTGAGCAAAAAGCAGCACTGTATTTAATGTAAGGTTTATATTTACATTAAATTCATCGTCTTAATAGCTAATATTCTATTAAAACCATACTGTGTTTAGGAAAAGAACTAAAGCATGCACATTTAAAAGAAAATGAATATCAATGTGTTAAAATTAATATTTCTTGCTCACTGATTTAAATCATGATTCAAAATCAATTATTTATTTCACACTGATTTTAAATCAGTTTATTCTTTCACACACACACACACACACACACACACACACACACACACACACACACCCGGTGGGAATAAATTACCTTTTACATTCTAATTTTTCTAGCTCTTCTCGTTGCTGTCTCTCAAATTCTAGTCTAGTGAAAAGGAAGAGTTTGAAAAATGAGTATTATTTATTGAAAATTTTTACAGAAACTGAACATGGCAAATTATAAAAATTTCAAAATTAACAATAATTTTGACAAGTTTTACAAAAATTGACTATGTTCTACAATAACTGAAAAAGTTTCCTTAAATAAAGGTTACAAATTAGATTTTGTGCTGCTTGGCACTTGCACAGAAGCTGAAAGAAGTAAATGAATTTCTTGGAAGAAACTACTTAAATAGTAAAGTTAAACAAGACAGATAACTGATTAGCAAAGACCCTGCGAGTTAACTACATGCAGACAAGGCAATCAATATAGAAATTGAGTTTCTCTACCTTAAACAGATTGGTCCTTTTACAGGGAAAAGACTGCCACAGGAGGTAGAGAGAAACAAAGTGATCAATTAAGAAAGGGATTTATAGAAAAAAAACAAACACAATTCGAGAAAAGCAATAAAGACTATTTTAAAGCCACCAACATTTTGCTTTATGAAAGGTTAGGTTTGTTAGGTCTATGTAGTTCCAGTCACTCATGCTGTAACTCCAGGTTATAGTTAATTAGTATTTTTTTTCCTTATACAATATGTTTTTCCTATGCCAGTGAGAGTTACTTAATATTTGTGTTCTGCAATTTATCAACTGGTTCCTATCTTGATAGGAAGACTTTTTGAATTTCAAGAAGACCAAAGTGAAGTATGAATACAATTCTTTTTTTTCAATGCATAAGCCAACAATAATTGTAATACTATTAACATAAGCTGTGAGGCAGACCTAAAAGATATTTAAATATAGGTTATGGTATAACCCTGTTTTTCTAAAGTATTTCAGGATAACAAAACATTTGAATTAGAATTTTTTTTGAAGAACTGGAATGTTTAATTTTCTATATGCTAGAGGAGTATAATGTTACAACAAAAAATGGCAGGATCCTATAATTTTATCTACCGGACTTCTATGTATTTGAATTATTTAAAATTGAAGATTTAAAAAAAATTATTGGGTAATGAGTCATATGAAAGGTCATAACACACATTTTGATAAAACAGATTTTCAAATTAAAGGTCTGGTTTAACAGTTCATGCATCAGAGACATACATATGCACATATAGTTTTACTTATTTACTCATTTCATCTATGATATATAGATAAAACAAATAAACAAGTAAAAGTCTATATGTAGAATGCATAGCTATAATATATTGTTCAACCAAAGACCTTTAATTTGAAAATCCATACATACATATGTATAATGTGTGTGCTTGCATGTATATATATCAAATACACACACGTGTGTAGAAGGGCTGCATGTATGTATGTGTGTATATATATATATATATATATAAACAAATGGATTATATAATACAGATAGGTGAAACAAGAAAACCAGTGAAAGTATATATATGTATTTTATAGGTATACATATATGTCTATGTCTAATACAGGATCACAGAAATGTAGGGCAGGAAAGGAGCTCATAATGTCATCTAGTTTTGCTCCCTGCTTGGGACAGGATCATCCCTGACTAAACCATCCCAGCCAGGTGTCTGTCTAACCTGCTTTTGAAAACTCCCAAGAATTCCTAGGAAATTCTACAATTTCTCTAGGTAGCCTGTTTCAATGCCTGACCACCCTCATAGTCAGAAAGTTCCTCCTAATCTCCAGCCTAAATTTCCCCTGCTTGAGGCCAACACTTCTAGTCTTGTTCTTTATGGCCACAGAGAAAAACCCATCTCTATCCTTTCTGTAATGTCCTTCAGGTATTTAAAGACTGTTAGCAAATCCCCACCATGACGCTCCTCCATACTAAATAATACTAGTTCTGTCAGCTTTTCCTCATAAGTCTTGCCTCCTAGGCCCCTAATCATTTTTACTGTTCTATGCTGGACTTGTTCCAAATTGTCTGCATCCTTGAAGTATGAGGCCCAAAACTGGATACAGTACTCCATGTGAAACTTCACCAGTGCTGAATAGAGTGGAAGAATCACTGCTTGATCTGTAAGTGACATTTCTGTTAATACAACCCAGTATGCTGCTGACTTTTTTTTTTTTTGGCAACAAAATACACCGTTGACTCATAGTCATCTTATAGTCTATTATAAACCCCAGGTCCTTTTGTGTAGAAATGCAACCTAGCTAATCAATCCCTAATGTGTATTTGTGTGTGTGATTATTCCAGCTCAAGTACAGGACTTGACACTTGTCCTTGCTGAATCTCTGGATCCTAGGGCTACCCTCCTGAGTGTCTGCAACTCCACCCAGCTTGGTAGCATCCACAAATTTGCTAAATGTGCATTCAATACCATCATCTGAATCATTAATGATGATCTTAATACTGGATCCAAGACAAACCCGTGGGGAGCCCCACTTGATCCGTCCTTCCAACTAGATCCTGAGCTACTGAAGACTTCTCATTGAGCATGATGATCCAGCCAGTTATGTATCCACGTTATAGTATTTTCTAAAGGTGCACCAACATATCGGCCAGGGCTGCACTTGGAGCAGGTGGGGGCGGGCCGGGTTCAGGTGCGTGAGGCCCACTAGTTTTAGAGGAGCTTTCAAAGCTAAGAGAGTGAATTGATAAGACCAGTATAGAACACCAACCAAGATCAGTGACCTAGCCACAGGTGCCTATACCTGGTAGGAAGTTGCACTAATTGCTGAGAAGTAGGTTGTGGGAGGGGTATGGGGGGCAGGTGCCCCCTCCCCCCTGAGATTGGCCGCCACCAACTTCTGTGGACAGTCACTGCTCACCACCCTGTCGCCAACACTGCCACCCACAAACTGTGCCCCCCAGGCTTAGGAGGCACCAATCACCCATGATGTCAACTAAATATGTTTTAGTAACTGGTGAGAATTGAGATGTGTCTGCTGTAAAATGAAGTTCTTTTCATCAGTGTATAAAAAAAACTAGGCCCAGGAACCCTGAATATTTAGGGTTATGTTCATGCCTATACCATGCCATCAAAAGACCCGGCTACCAGCATGTACTAATTCACTTGGCCATGGATCCTAGTGCCTAAGCTTGTTTGTGGACAATAAACCATTCAAACTGAGGGAGACTGACATGACCAGTGACATCAAACACCCTAACAACACTGACAGAGTCCTACAGAGGGCACCTACTGAAATTAGCAGGAGACAGGTTTAAAACAAACAAGAGAAAGTACTTTTTTACCCAGCAAGTAGTTAAACTCATGGAACTCATTACCATAGGAGGTTGTAGAGGCAGATAGCATAGCCAGGTTCAAAAAGGGACTAGACAAATTCACGGATGACAGATCCAGTAATAACAATTAAATATAACCAATGTATGCTCGTGCACCTCTAGGTCAATGATGATAGATGTCAGGGAGGGAGACACCATTGCTGATCACTCTAAAGATCCCCTGGTCAATGGTATCCCTCTAAAGCAGGGTTTTCCAACTTCTGACTGACCGGGGATTGTAGGCTTCCCAACTACAAACTGTGGGGGCCATACATCCCCAGACTGCATGCCACACTGCAATACCTAGGCCTTCCTATGCTGCAGGGCAGGCACCCAAGCACACCAGGCTGTGGGTGACTAGGTCTGAAGCCACTCAAGGATCAAGTTGCCAACAAAGGTCAAGAGAAGCAAGCAGAATCCAAGAACAAGCCAGGTCAAGAAGTTGAGTCAGAGTGCAAACTGGAGGGAACAACAAAGCAATCTGGGATCAGATTGAGACATGTTGCCCAGACACTTAATGTTCCTGCACAAGGGTTTATGTGGAGGAAGTGCTGGCCAGACCGAGGCCCCAGATACAAGTCCACGGACTGACACTTGCCCTGACCCTCTCACTCCCACAGTGTACTGGACTGAAATTCCCACTCTGTACCACATGGGGCCACACTGCAGCAGGCAACTGGCACTACATTACTAGGCTGCCACACAATATGGGATCCCTGGGTCTCCAACCCCCCTATCCAGAGGCTCCCTTAGCCCCATGGGCCATACCACCCTATCCTGCCCATAGGGAGGGGAAGCCTGGAGACTCCGATGGCAGCAGCAGGAGAGATCTGTTCTAAAGTGTCCAGTTTTGGGCTCCACAATTCAAAAAGGATGTGGAGAAGCTTGAGAGAGTCCAGAGAAGAGCCACGCGCATGATCAGAGGTCAGGGAAGCAGACCCTACGATGAGAGGCTGAGAGCCCTGGGGCTCTTTAGCCTGAAAAAGCGTAGGCTCAGGGGTGATCTGATGGCCACCTATAAGTTTATCAGGGGTGACCACCAGTATCTGGGGGAACGTTTGTTCACCAGAGCGCCCCTAGGGATGACGACTAGGTCGAACGGTCATAAACTACTACAAGACCATTTCAGGCTGGACATAAGGAAGAATTTCTTTACTGTCCGAGCCCCCAAGGTCTGGAACAGCCTGCTACCGGAGGTGGTTCAAGCGCCCACATTGAACACCTTCAAGAGCAAACTGGATGCTTATCTTGCTGGGATCCTATGACCCCAGCTGACTTCCTGCCCTTTGGGCAGGGGGCTGGACTCGATGATCTTCCGAGGTCCCTTCCAGCCCTAATGTCTATGAAATCTATGAAATCTATAAAGCTTCCACTCCTGCCACTGTCGGTGACCGAGTACTGGGCTATATTGACTACTGTCTTATGTCCTTATGTTCTTAAGTCATCCCAGACTAGTTCTTCCACTACTCCTGGCTGCTTATCTCCTTCCAGATCTTTGCCAACTGCATTCATGATCTGTCAGTTGACCTTATCAGTCAGGACTACAGTAAAAAAGACATTAAAAATAAACTAGCCTTCTGTGTACCATTTGCAACTAGGTTGCCTTCTGCATTTAGTATGGGACCTACACTTTCCATGGTCTTTCTCTTACATTTCTAACATACTTGGAGATTCCCTTTTTAATGCAGTTTACATCTCTTCCCAACTGCATCTTAAATTGTGCTTCAGCCTTCCTGATTTTCTCTCTGCACACCCATATAATACTCATCCCTAGCAATATGACCAAG